ACGCTTTTGCTCTCTCACTCTCTGAAAGTAAATAAACTTAAAAAAAAAAAAAAAAAGATGATGTTCATCAAATGCCAAGTATAATGAACTCAAATAGGTCCATACCTGGACAAATCATAATAAAACTGTCAAAAACCAAGAAGAATCTTGAAAGCAGCAAGAGAAGTGATTCATCACATACAAACGATCCTAAAAAGATTAACAACTGATTTCTCATCAGAAACTGGGAAGACCAGAGGCAGTAGGATTAACATATTTAAAGTGCTGAAAAAAAAAGTATTGACCAAAAAATCCTATATTTAGCTAAACTGTTCTTCAAAAATGAAAGAGAAATTAAGACATTCTCAAGTAAGCAAAAACTGAGAGAGTTCATCACTGGTAGACCTGCTCTATAAAGAAATACTAAAGAGATTCCTTTAGCCTGAAATGAAAGAACTTTAGACAATAAAATCCACATGAAGAAATAAAGAGCACCAGGAAAAAGAATTACATAGGTAAATATAAAAGATAGTATGTGTGTATTTTTTGCGTGTAACTGTTTTCTCCTACCTTATTTAAAAGACAATTTCAGAAAGGAATAATTATAAATCTGTGTAGATGAACACACAATGTATAAAAATGTATGTTTTATGACAATAACAGTACAGAGGATGGGGAGGGGGAAGGAATGGACCTATACAAGAACAAAGTATATCTATACTATTGAAATTAAGTTGGTATTAATCTGAATTGAATCTGAATTGTTATAAATAAATCACTATATTAATTGTAATCCTGGGACAACACCAAGAAAATAACTCAAAGAAATATAAAAAGAAACAAGAAGGAAATTAAAATGGTACACCAGAGTGCTCGCACATATACTAAAATGGTACACCAGAAAGTATCATTTGAACAAAAAAAGGCATCAGTAATACAGAAATAAAAAATCAAAGAGACATAAGATATATACAAAACAAATGACAAAATGGCAAACACAAATTCTATATTAACAATAATTATGTTAAATGTAACTGACTTGAACACTCCAATTAAAAGATAGACACTGGCTGGCTGGATTAAAAAAAAAAGCATAATCTAACCATATGTTGTCTAGAAGAGACACACTTTAGATTCAAAGACACAAATAGGCTAAAAGGAAAATCTTGGAAAAAGATATGCTACGGAAACAGAAACCAAAAGAAAGCTGGAGTGGTTATACTAGTATCAGATAAAAATACACTTTAAGACAAAAATTATTATCAGAGACCAAGATGGACATTTTACAATGATAAAAGATGAATACATCAAGAAGATATAAAATCATAAACATATATACACTTAACCTCAGAGCTCCAAAATGCATAAAGCAAAAACTGACAGAATTGAAAGGAGAAATAGACAAGTCAACCATAGTAGTTGGAGACTTTAATACCCCACTTTCAATAACAGATATGACAACTAGATAGCGGATCAACAAGAAAATAGAAGATTTGAATAACACTATAAACCAATTAGGCCTAACAACTATCTACAGAACACTCTATCCAACAATAGCAGAATACACATTTTCTCAAAAGTACACATGAAACACTTCCCAGGATAGACAATATGTTAGCCATAAAACAAGTCTCAATGAGTGTTAAAGGACTGAAATCATACAAACTGTATTTCTAACCACAATGGAATGAAATTAGATGTCAATAACAGAACAAAATGTGGGAATTAACAAATATATATAAATTAAACAACATACTCCTAAAGAAACAATGGGTCAAAGAAGAAATCACAAGAGAAATTAGAAAATACTTTGAGATGAATAAAAATGAAAACACACCATAAAAAACTTATGGGATACGGGGCGCCTGGGTGGCTAGTTGGTTAAGCCATCTGACTTCAGCTCAGGTCATGATCTCACAGTTTGTGAGTTTGAGCCCAATGTCAGGCTCTGTGCTGACAGCTCAGAGCCTGGAGCCTGCTTCAGATCCTGTGTCTCCCTTTCTCTCTGCACCCCTCCCCTCCTCGTGCTTGCTCTCTCTCTGCCTTTCAAAAATGAATAAATGTTAAAAAAATAAAATAAAACAAAAAACTTATGGGATAGAAAGAAAGCAGTACTTAGAGGAAAATGTATAGCTATAAAAGGTCTCAAATCAATAACCTAAAATCCACCTTAAGAAATTAAAAAAAAGCAAACACAAAACAAAAAAAAAACAAAAAAGAACTAAAAAAAAGCAAAATAACTCAAAAGCAAGGAAAAGAAAGAAATAACAAACATGAGAGTAGAAATTAATGAAATAAAGAATAGAAAAACAATGGCAAAAACTCAACAAAAGTTTTTTTTTGGAAAGATTAACAAAATTGACAAGCTTTTAGCAAGACTGACCAAGAAAAAAGGGAGAACTCAAATTGATGAAGTCAAGAATGAAAGTGAGGACATTACTACCAATCCTACAAAAATAAAAAGGATTATGAGGAAATACTATGAATAACTCTATGCCAACAAATTAAAAAAAATTTTTTTTAACGTTTTTATTTATTTTTGAGACAGAGAGAGACAGAGCATGAAGGGGGGAGGGGCAGAGAGAGAAGGAGACACAGAATCGGAAGCAGGCTCCAGGCCCTGAGCCATCAGCCCAGAGCCCGACGCGGGGCTCGAACTCACGGACCGTGAGATCGTGACCTGAGCTGAAGTCGGCAGCTTAACCGACTGCGCCACCCAGGCGCCCCACTATGCCAACAAATTAAACAACCTAGGTGAAATGGACAAATTCTTAGAAAGGCCTAAAGTATCGAAACTACCTTGGGAAGAAATACAGAATCTGAATAGACTGATAATAAATAAAGAGATTGAACGAGTTATCAAAGTCTTCTCACAACACAAACCCAGATGTCCATCAACTTGATGAATGGATAAAACAAAATGGATAACAGTATTATTCAACCACAAAAAGGAATGAAGAACTAATACATGCTATAACATTACAGTAAGTGGCAGAAGTCAGTCACTAAAGATCACATATTGTATAATTCCATTTTTATGAAATGTCCAAAATGGGGAAATCCATTTACAGAAAGTAGACTAGTGGCTGCCAAAGACTGGGGAGTAGGAGAAGTTGGGGAGTGACTGCTAATGGGTATTGAGGTTTTTCTTGGGAGTGATGAAAATGTTCTGAAATTAGTGGTATGGTAGCACAACTTTGTATTCTAAAAACCACTGAATTATACACTTTTTAAAAAAGTAACAGTAGATGCCTTCAAAATTCTTCAAGATGATTATTTTCAATCCAGAATTTCATGTATGAACTTAAAACTGGGAAAATAGCAACTAAGGCTGTGTTGGGGAGGGGAGGTGCTCTACAAGAGCTAATTCCTAAGCTATCATAACAGAAAGCTAGTATTTGCTGTTGAAAATTTTTAAATTTCAGAAATAGCGATATCAGAATACTACTAAAAATACATCAATAAATCCCAGAAAAAATAACTAAAAGATTATCTCTGAGTAGTGGCCTACAAATGGCCAGGAACTAATATATTTGATTTTTATACTCTTTGCATTTATTACTTTAAAACAAAATTTAGGGGCACCTGGGTGGCGCAGTCGGTTAAGCGTCCGACTTCAGCCAGGTCACGATCTCGCGGTCTGTGAGTTCGAGCCCCGCGTCAGGCTCTGGGCTGATGGCTCAGAGCCTGGAGCCTGTTTCCGATTCTGTGTCTCCCTCTCTCTCTGCCCCTCCCCCGTTCATGCTCTGTCTCTCTCTGTCGCAAAAATAAATAAACGTTGAAAAAAAAATTTTTTTTAAATAAAAAAATAAAACAAAATTTAAAAGGATTATTTAAAAAAGAGCATATTCATACTCTAAGAAACTAAACTATCTAAAGAAGGCTCTCTGGGGTCAGAGAGCCTGACTTCATGTCCTGTTACATTTATTAGTTGGGTAATTAATTATGAGCTAATCACTGTGTCTTAGTTTCCTCACCTGTAAAATTGACAATAAAATTACCTGTGCTCCTATGTTAAAGAGCCATTACGAGAATCAAATGAAATGATATAAAAGTAGATTGAAAAATGTTACTTAAAAATGAAAAGTTATGGGGCGCCTGGGTGGCGCAGTCGGTTAAGCGTCCGACTTCAGCCAGGTCACGATCTCGCGGTCCGTGAGTTCGAGCCCCGCGTCGGGCTCTGGGCTGATGGCTCAGGGCCTGGAGCCTGTTTCCGATTCTGTGTCTCCCTCTCTCTCTGCCCCTCGCCCGTTCATGCTCTGTCTCTCTCTGTCCCAAAAATGAATAAACGTTGAAAAAAAAAAAATTTAAAAAAAAAAAAAAAAAAAAAAAAAAA